GTGTGTGTGTGTGTGTGTGTGTGTGTTTGTGTGTGTGTGTGGGGTGCGGCACCCCGCTATGAGGAAGCTCGGCTTAAAGACACGTCCCAGGGGTGTTTCTGGTCCCAAAAGGTATTTCTGGTCCCCACCTGTCGTTTTGCTCCTCAGCATGGCTTCATAAAAACACTGCAGGATTTCTCAAACATGCATGAATGAGTCAAAGCAAGGCTTTGTGCATGTTTTTTTTTATGAGAGAATACCATTATAACATGATATAAAACTCAAAAAAGTTGATTTACATGATATTGCCCCTTAAACTCTCTGAAAATACTGTATGATGACAATAAAAGGGCAGCACGGTGTCTCAGCTGTTACCTCCCAGCAAGAAGGTCCAAATCCCAGCTGGGAAGCATTAGTTTGCATATTCTCTCYGTGCATTCATGGGTTTTCTTTACTCTGGCTTCTTCCACAAATCAAAAATATATTAGCACCTCTTTCTTGTAAGCTGTGGTCCTCTCAACATAATTGCAGATTTAGGCATCAGAGTGTGTGAATAATGGAATGAGTGCATAGAAAGCTTTCAAAGTGTGAGCTGCAACTACASGGTGGGGGCTGGGGGGCTATACCTTTCAACATGTATTTAAGTACTGAAGTTGTCTGCCAGGTATAAGTTAATCCTTAAGGAGTTGAACACTCCCTTTTAGATTAAATCACACATGAAATAGAAGCTAGGGTTAAGTGGCTCAATTGAAGCAAGGGAAGATGACGAGAAAGTAAATAGTTTCTTTCATGTGTTGCAACGAAACGGAGGATGAAAAAGCAAACCACAAAAAAAGAGAGTGAGAGAGACTGGCTCACATACAGTATTTGACTATACACCTGCAAGTGTGTTTGTCTGACTGTGTTTGTGTAACGTTTGCATGCATCCTTTGACGTGTGTGTCTGCGCACTCTTGCTCCAAGGCTCTGGTCAGACGGTGCATAGCTGTGGTGGGACGCAGCCCGAGCGCTTCGAACAACACTGAGTCAACAGTGTCTGCTCTCACCCGGAGAAGACGTGATCGGTCTTGCCTCATTTGCTCCCTGACTTGTGTGGCGGGACCCCCATACCTCGTGTGTGTGTGTGTGGCAGCCATCGTTTTAAGTAAAGTTAGCTCCATAATGAGATGTAAAAACAAACACGCCTCAGTAGCGGCTTATGCAAGTCATGGTGTTCAAAACAAACATTATCGTCTGAGTTCGTCTTTTGGCGGGGGGCTATTAAATATAGACAKTTAGTGATGATGAAAGTAAAGCACACAGCTGGTTTCAGATCCTTCTGGAGGTGTTACAGTCATTGTGGAGCTGGATACTTGCTCAAACCTGTGCCAAAACCCAATAATCCAGGCTTGGAAAAAAACATTTCATTGTTCTTTTATTCCAYAGTGAGGTTCTTGTTTGGATTTTGTGGATGTCCACCCTCTGTGTGGGTGTGTGACCAAGAGAATAACAGAGGGCTGGCTTTTGGGTCGGCCATTTTCCCCACACACAAGTGAAAATCTTCTATAATTAAAAAATAATAATTAAATTGGTTAAGATCAAAGAATGATCAGGTCTGACATTTATCTCAAACATAGGATGGAATCCTGTGGGAACTTTAGGGTCTCGTCTCTGGAAAAGTCAGCTCTGAATCTGAGGTCAGGGATGATCCTGTGCCTCGAGCGAAGGAGTCTGCAGCTCCAATTTTAGGACCTTGCAGTCATTTTCTTAACTTTTTTTTGTACAAGTTCCTACAAGTAAAACTAGGGTTAATTTATCACCTTTAAAAGCTTTGTTGATATTCACCAACAGCTTGTCCTGCCCCAGACTTTATAAATTCTTTTAAGCCGCAGTGAAAACAACAATTAGTCAACCCAAACAGTTACAAAACTAGATTAAGAAAATAAATTAAAGTTATGTAATATTGTTTAAAAAAACAGTCATTTGATGGTTTGGTGGGATCCTTCTGGGAAAGGTGTGACGTCTCAAAGTGTTACCAAAGAGAGAGAGAGAGAGAGAGAGAGAGAGAGAGAGAGAGAGAGAGA